CAGAATTAACTTCTCTAGTCTATTCAGTGTTTTAATGAATTACAGGTTTTAGCTAAGGCAAATTTATCATGTAGAATTTTTAACAGTAACTTATTCCGTTCTTCAGTTTATAGAGAAAAACATCTATTTGTAAGGCAAGCTCATTTTACTTTCCAAATGTTAGGCCTACCTAGTGCCTGCTAAAACTTTAACTTAGTTGAATGCTTCTTCCTTTTAAAGCAAAAACTGGCTTGCAGAAATGTTTGAATTTTACCTTCTGATGCATTTGTTTGTTTTTCCTTTCTTTCTTTCTTTAAACTTAATGTGCCAGATAATAAGAATTACTTTTTTGGGACATTTACAAACTTTTTGTCCTTTTAAATTGCACTGGTCCATTCCCAAAAGCTTTACAATCAGTCTCACTTGCCAACCTGAATTTCTCATTCATCCTTACTATACTTGATATCTCTGTGCTGCCCACTTGTGCCTCTGGAAAACAGATTATGCATTACATCTTTTTTGTATCTGAATAATTGATCTACCAGTTTTTGGTGTTATCTTGGTTCAGTGCAGTTTCCATTTGCTTTGTAGTGTGCTTCAGTATTTTCTGACTAACCAGGTTTTAAACATCTTGTTCTAATCTTCCAAAGACCTTCAGTCTGACTTTTGTTTGAAGTTAATAGAATAGTTACTGTCACCACAGGGGTATGGTGAGACTTTAAAGCAGAGGGAGAAGAGGAAAAGCAATAAGGACAATGTGGAAAGTCATAATCTTCCTTAAAAGCTGTCAGACTGGATGCCTGTCTAACCAGTACCTGGGTCAAATCTTACTCATCCTACATTTCTTGCTTTTACAAATACAATTAGTGTATAGGTCTTGTCTTTTTTTTTTGCCACAGAGTATGCAGACTTAGGCCATCGTTCTTCTTCAAACATAAAGAGGAAGGTGGAAGGGTAACACTTCTCTTATTACCAAGCTTTATTATACAGCAACTTTGACGTTTCCATTTGTGTGTATTTATTTGGTAGTACACTGATGGCCTTTGAAAGGAAGTTATTGTTTTCAGTCTCTCCCAGTGTATAGAGGTGTTCTAGTAACTTTGTGTTTTCAGACTCTTGAGATATCCTATCTCAGTCTTCCTGAGTTTGGGGACTCTGTCTCTACTGGTAATGAAAACTTGTGGGATACTGATATGTGCTGAAGCTCCGTGTATGTTCCCTTGTTTTAGGAACCCAAGTGCATTAAGAAATCAGTGTGAATGTGAGAGATCTTTGTGGCAGAAAACAGATTTAAACATTACAACCCTAGTAACCGAAACTGACATTTCATATTGATGTTAAGATTTGTAGTTCAGCATTGACCATGTAAGACTTCAGTTGCACCCTGCAGTTTACATAAGTCACTAGTCGCAGCTTCTCCACTGGCATTATATGTCAGCAGCTAAGTGCAGTGAGGTGTTGAAATTTGTATTGCTTAATTTAGGAAATCTTAAAATTGTATTAATAAACCCTCAAGAAGAAGGAAACGCTTAGCATTTTTGTATTAAAGCATTTTCATTTGACAGCTTATCAGTCATAATGCAAATGACAACAAGTTATTAATGTTCTAGAGATTTTGTAATCAAAATTAGTTAATGATGCTTTTGTTCCTGTTTAACAGTGTGGGGGTGTTTTGGGAGGGTGGAGTGATCGTTTCCTGTTTTGTTTTATATCGATTGAATGGCATAAGATATTTTCAAAGTGTCTTACAAGGAGAGCACTGTCGCTAGTTATTTTCCTGCTACATTTTGTTGAAGGAGATGTATTAAAATTAGTGCTTTGTCCCCTGAAAATCTTTACCACTACCAGCTGCAGTGGTACTGCAGGATTTGTGGCATTTGCTTTAATGTTTAGTAATACTTGTTACCGGCCTTCATAAGAAGAGAAGCTGTGCTGTTATGACCTTACAGTAAACTGAAAAATACCTTAATATAATAAGCATGTGTGAGATCCCCAAATCACAATGAAATAGAAGAAACGTGGATAAAAGTTCACGTCTCAATCTGCACGGATTAATATTATTTCTCCTCTCAGAGCCTGAAACTGGATGGTGACAACTCTGTCAGTGCTTTGTTAGTGTAGTCCCTTTTTGATCTAGGCTTTCAGCAGCAGTTGTGTCCCAGAGGAGAAGTAGTATTTGCAATGAGCTCTGAGATTCTGTTGAGGGAAATGCAATGCCTATTTTCAGATTCTTCAGTGAAAAGCCTATAAACTCACAGGCACGTGATTAGCGTATGTGATCTCGTTGTAATGAGCTTTGGACTTAGACTGATGCAAGTGTACTCGCTGAAAATGACATCTGTATGCTGTCGTATATTTTTACTTAGTATATTGCCAGTTTATGTACATTGGTCCTGGTAGTATTAATAGAAAGAGCTTCCTGAAATTTTACAACATCTACAGGTCTGTTGACGTTTAAGCTTCACATTTTCAGAAATCAGTGCTAGTATAGTGTATTTTATGCTTTACTGTGTATGGTAAAGTGGAAGCTGATTATTTTTCATCTTCTGGGTAGTTCTAGTAGGTCAAGAACAAATACTTGATATAGGTTGTCTTATAGAAAATATTCATTGTTAAAAGGCTGTGCCAGGTCACAGCAGGTACTTGATGGGACGCTAAACTAGATCTGTCCAGCTGCTTACTAAAAGCAGGCTCTGTTGAACAGTGGTTCTGTGCAGGCGTTTTTCCCTTTCCCCTGCCCCTCAATTCTTGCAAGATATGTGTTGAAACATTCTCAGAATATTTCATAATAGTACACCTGGTACATAAACAGTGTAAAAGCTGTACCCCGGCAACTGCTAGTGTCAAAGCATGAAATTTCATGTGAGAAATGCATATTCCGGCTATTCAGAGAAGTAATTTTCAATGGGTCATGTGCATTAGAAGCACAAATTTTTGTTGTGTGGAACTTCAAATAGATTTCTAGTTTGCTTTATATGAGTTCACGCAAACTTCAAGGGCATTTCTGACAGTTGGAGATGGGCTTCTTAATGTATGTGACCCAAGCAGAGGTATTTCAAAGAATAATATTAAAGGAAAAATTAAAAGTTACGAGGAAAGCATACAAGAAAATACTTTTTCATTGCAACATAACTGCTTTGCAGTAATGTGAGAGAGAAGGAAAGAAGGCAGAAAATGCAAGGTGCTAAAATCCACTGTTTCTCAGTTGGTATTAACATTCTTAGCGAAGAAGCTTTGAGTGATAGATACAGAAGGGAAAGAAGAAGGATGAGACACCTGGAAAAAGGATCCATTTGAGACATTAATATTTTAGCGCTGCAGTTTCTTCTGTATGTTTTATGGCTCTCTTCACGTCCAGTAGAAGCAGTAGAATAAAAACTTGGGCCTGGAAGTATTGCAGGGAAAATAAACTAAATGTAACTGGTGCAGTTATGAGTCACTGTTAATGTGGTGGAGGGCTGGGAGGAGAAAAGAATTGCACCTTTTTCTACTTGTATCCGTTTTCAGTCATTAGTCTTGCAAAAGAAGGAAAAGTCATCATGTATCTTGTCTGTTTTCAGAAATGGGAACCTATAAATAGTTACTGGAAGAAAAAGCGTAGTGAAACAAGAAAAGAGAACGGAGGGGCTATGTTCCAGTAGGACAAATTAAAGGCAATAACACTATTGGTAGTTGCATAGCAGTGTTTGAGCTTGGGGCAAAGCTTGATGGCAGTTAGTCTCTCCATGGAATGTTTTTGGATCACTTTGAAGACACTATTTGAAGGCAAACATGCAGTTTGAATTGGTGTGTCTTCTGCTGAATTTCCTTACTATCTCGTATGTAAAGACCAAGGAGTCAAGATGTGAATAGTCTATTGCTCAAAGTGCATATTTGGGATTCTTGCATTGATTTCCAGTCTCCTGTTCACTAGGACTCTACAGCTTTTTTTGTTTTGGGAGGCAGAGGAGGGGCATTGTGTTGTTTGCTTGCTTTTTGTTTTTCTTTTAACACTGTTCTCTCTGTTCAGCCTCTGATAAGTCATTGAAGCTGAAAGTGCTGGTCCTTTGGGGAAAAAAAAAAAAAGAGATTAAGCCATGGTCTTGACCTGTTTCAGAAGTTAGATTGTCATTATAAAGCCAAATGTTTCAGCGTTCTGGACAATAGCAACAGTATTTTGCCCTGTAACTTTGTCCATTAGATGACCAGAAAACAATCTGTCTTCAGTCCTGTTATTCAACAATAACATTGTTTCTTAATATTGGTGAAAGATTTATTGAGGTTCAAGTAGGTGTATTTAGATTAATCAGAAGGAACGTTTTGGCGTAACCCCTAAAGACAAGCAGGTTCTTGCTCCCTCTTTTTCTTTTTTTAATTGTAATTATTAAACAAGTAGTTGTTCATGAGAATGGAATTAAGCTATCACTGACTTACCCAAGTTTTAGGTGTCAGCCAGCAGAATATGTGCCCCACTTCTGTAAAAGTAATTACATAGTATGGTTTTCAGTCCATTTGAGAAAAATACCAGGCACACAAATGTTTGCACTAGGCTAATTAAGTTACACTAGGGGTAGTTTTGGCAACATAGTGATGGAAATAATTAGTTAGCCCAGTGACTCTAGCAGAATACGTAGGTATCGATCAGTTAGTATTGTTGCTTACTTGTATCAAGACAGAAACATCTTTGCCTGTACTGTATTGTCCAACAGTGAATGTAGAACACGTACTTGTTGCAAATCCAGGATGCCTGAAAGCACAAAAGCAATATCCAAAACGCTGTGTACCGTAATTCTAAGAAAATGTCATGTAAAACATAGGTGTTCCTTTAGGAACGGTGCGTGAGTTTCGATTGTAACTGTGAGGAAATATGGGCGTTGAGTACGCTTGACAATTTAGTTGGCAAGAGTTGCCCAGCTGTTTGGTTGCGATTTAGCTGATTGCTAAGAGGTGTTTTTAAAATTCTGTATGTATTCTTCAGCACTTCGTTTAAAGTCCATCCAATCTAATTGCCTTTTCCCTCCCCCTTCCCCTCTGTCTTTCAGCAAACGAGGATTCAGTGTCCGATCCTTCGGAACAGGGACTCATGTGAAACTGCCAGGACCAGCACCGGACAAGCCGAATGTTTATGATTTCAAAACAACATATGATCAGATGTACAATGATCTGCTTAGGAAAGACAAAGAACTGTATCCCTGTGGCATGACCTTTTTAAAAAATCCTATATGGCTCATCCTTGAAAGGCGTAATTCATTATTTGGCATTATGCTTTAGGAATATACAGTTGCTTGACTGGCGATCCTAAAATGTTTTAGGTTTTTAGGTCTTTTTACGATGGGCCTCTGATGCACCCTTGTAAATTGCTATTGAGTTACAATGCATGCATTCAAAATGCTCTTTTGTAGTGTGTTAACATGTTTAGCTCTTGAATGAAAGCACATTAATGCTATCCCAGATTGACCGTTGCCTCCGCTGCACTGTGGATCGTATCTTCTCAGTGCAGAGACTGTCCTGATAATGGATGTGTGAAGAGCGACCACCTCGACATTAATGTTGTATTTAGCTCAGACAAATGGACAGGTAAGGTTTACAGTATACTTTCTCTGGGAGAAAGGATACCTTTCATTAGAGAGCTCACCCTTCTCACTGAGAATTTCCTGATACATGATTTTATCTGTGCTCCGAGAAAAAAAAAATCCTGTAGCATATTATAAATCATAGAATCATTTAAGTTGGAAAAGACCTTTAGGACCGAGTCCAGCTGTAACAGAATGGACATAGGAGACCCCAATAACATATTTAATCCTGGTGAGCAGAGGTGATCAAGGTTATGCACACTACTTAAAACCATGTCTAACTACATGATTTTAGAACATCTGTATTTAAAGTTGACTTTTCATTTGTTTTTAAGAAAACCCACAAACCTACAAAAACGGGACATTCATTCTAGATACTCTTTTCTCAACAAGGGATCTGATTTTTTTTTTTAACATTAAATATGAAAAAGAAAACTCACCCTAAATAAGGAGTTCAGTATATTCTGAATTTCTGCTTAAAAGATAGAGCCCTTTAGAGTGATGTATCCCAGAAATGAGTCTTAGTAATTCAATAGAGGAGTCTTTGCACTTTTTAGTGGTATAAGGTTTTTTTCCTAAAATCGAGGGTGTGGCCATCTGAAGATCTAACAGGAATGTTAGCATGGTTTAAATGTCTTCATTCTACTCAGACAGTTCAGTTTTCATTTTTTTCAAAAAATACAAGAAAATAAGACTAAAATAAGACTAAACAAGTTGTCAGATAGAAGACTTGAACATGCTGGAAACTATTTCAAACTGTTACCCAAGGAGTCAGCAAACTCAGTAGCTTTTTGAAAGATAGCTCTACAGTTGTTTGGTAGCACAGATTATGCTATGGCTTATTACTACTACTCAGCAAATTCTTTGTTGTATTTGCTGACCAGAAATAATAAATTTGAGCTCTCCGAGACCCCAAGAGTGGCTACTTCTTTTGCATTGGGCATTGGAAGACTTCTGTTAAGAAGGGCTGGGCTGTTTGATTAAAGCTCTACAGCACAGTGAGAATGGATTAAACATTGGAATGCCTTTCTGCATGGTATTCCACACAAATGGTGTCCCTTGCAGGGGTGTTGGTTTCCTAATATCTAGTGAGAGATCCTTTTTTCAAAAGAAATTGAAAATGTAGGGTATAGTCTTAGTGAATCACGTGTGATGTGCTGAGGTTTTTTCTATATCCCTCTACCTATAAAGAAAAGGAAAATCTTGCAAACCTATCTTAATGAGGTATGCCATATCTTGACTAGAAAAGAATTGCTTCAAAGGAAATGATTTGAAAAGAGGAATAATATCAAGCACTAATGACTTGTGATTTCCTTGTGTTCTTCATTGCTGCTGTACCAAATGTGGCACTGCTTTAAGATAAAACCAACAGAAAGCCTACCTAGTTCCCTCTCTTCAGCATGGTTTGAAGTTACCATTTGGTTCTGCTCCATGCTGGAGATAGTGGCTGTGTTCCCCAGATGTATTTGCAGTGTTACAGTTAAACCTTTTCTCAAGATACAAGAAAGCAAGCTTAAACAATAGCTGTTGCAAGGGAAGTAGGGCAAGAACAATTGCCTCTATATCTTTGTATTTTTGATTCTCAGGTATTACAAGTTAAGGTTTTCAGAGTGAAGACTGTCAGTGCAGAAAGCAACTACATTTCCAGAAATGGGTTTGGAGGGTAAAGACTTTTACAGTAACCAAAACCAGACCTACTCTTGTCAGAGTTGTGGAGTAGTTTTTTGTGAACCAGGGTCATGTGGGCTCTCAGGTTTTTTGGGTGAGCATTACTTCAAAGAGGTGATGGGCATGCAGACATTCTCTACTGAAGGATGGGATGGCCTGCTCTTCTGATGGACTTTGAGTGTAGTTGGTATGAGAAAACAAAAGGTGTAGTTCTTCATATGATTTAGCTGCTTATTCTGTTCCCCAGCCTTGCTTTCATCAGCTAAGTGGAGATGACTGTCATCTGTAGCCTTTCCATTTGATTTGAAGTAGTATATCTTGGTGACAACTGTCTGCTTGTTCCAGTATTCCAGTGATGGGACACATGAAGTTTGATCACTCAGCACTCGGTACTGCCTCACTTAAGAGCGATGTCCTTCTTCCAGTTCTCTGTGCCAGCAGGGGCCCACATCATTATGGACACTGGATACTCAGTGAAATTGTGGCTGTAAGGGGCTTAGAATGTTTTCTGTTGGCCAGCCAAGTAAATGACCCCTGTTTCAGAAAGCAGTAGTCTCAAAAAGAAACATGCTTCTGCAGTGCTAGAGATCAGTCAGAACAAGGTTAAAAATGTGTAGAGTGAAAAGATCCGTTGAAACTTTCTTGCTCACTTGTGGAAAGTAGGGAGAACTATCAGAAACCTACTCTGCAGAGACTAAAAGCACCTTCATGGTGGTTAATTCGTGATATACAGAGCACAAGCTCACATACCTTGAAGGCATATGTTGAATTTCAGAAGCACAGGGATAAGGGATTAATGGAGCCAGGCGTGCAGATTCAGTTGAGTAGGTGGTTATGGTATATTTAAAATGTAAGTACTTCAAAGTGTTTTAAGATGTGGTAGTTAAACCTTATAGTTAAAATAAGTATCCACATCTACCATTGCATTTTTAGAATATTGCATTTAAATTCCAAGGACTGCAACAAAACCATTTAAGGCTGTTCTGAATGAGGCTTTTGGTTACTTTTTAAAGTATTCCTCTATTATTTCTAGGAGAACAGTAGGAGACGTGATCAATGTCTGCAGTACCTCTGTGGGGCTATACATGCATAGTATAGATACGCCACCTTGTTGTATTTGCATGTGTAACCAGCTCTCTCAAAGACAGGCACTGTGATTACTTGCCCCTTATGGCTGTGAGAAGGGGTTTAAGGACTTAGTTCTAATTATATGGTGGTGACTTCAAAGATGAAATGAAAATAGAGGAAAACTGGTGAGCCCTGCCTTCAAGTGAACGCAAAAACTAGTCAAGGATGAAACTTTCTAAACACCAGATAAAATCTACAACAGCAGTTGCTTTTATGCCCGGGGATAGGAACTGTTCAAATGGAAATTGGACCAAAATTCTCCAGCAGTAGCTCCTGGGTTCTTTATCAATGTTAACGAACTCCATGATTGATTGTTTCTTTCCCTTTCTCAACACTATGTATCTGTGACTCTCAGGTGGAAGGTACTTAATGATTTCCATAGATAGGGTTTTTACTAGAATTTCTAGGCAGTCTGTCTCTACTCCACAGGCTTGACCTACTGATCTGTTTCCTACTCCTTTTACTTTCTCTTTTAATTTGACTTGCTCTCTAGCTGTAGCTAGGATTCCAGCTTTAGCTCTATAGTTACACAATGATATAAAATTGGAGGAGGGGCAGAACATGTCCTCAAGAAGTTACTAAAGGTGTGCTTCAGGTAGAAAGGAAAATGTTTTAGAAATTAAGAAGGAAAAACTGGCTGCGTACGTTTTACTCAAAGACATAAGGATTCTTTTCTGTCAAAAAAAATAGTAGTGATAATCTAGGTGGTTGGGATCTAGGATTCTTCCTCTGTGAACTCCATGTTTAAACTGGATGGCCATATAGTACTTTTTTTGCTGTTGCTGATGTATGGTGATTGTTTTTTTATATTGTACCCTTCACATTCAGAGCAAACAAACAGTTTCTTCTGCCATATACAGACCACTTTGCCAGTAAGTGTTCATAGTATTATGGTCTCCCCATAGCTGACGCTCATCCCTGCTGTATCCCCCCAGTCTTCGTCTGCCTAAGAAGATGTGCTCTATTAACTGGTAAGATGTGTTGTGGTAGAACATCACTAGGGGAGAATGTTGTGGCTTTGGAGCAAGCATAGGCTTGAGGGACTCTGTATAGCAGTTCCAGAATCGAACGGGGTGGGGGGCAGAAATCTGAAGCAAGTTCTGCCATGAACAAGATCGTCACAGGATCTAGATGAACAAAACTGAAATCCCTACAGAAGATGGGGAAAGCCAACAGAAGTATATTGTTGAACTAAATTGACTTCACTGTAGGACTGTGTAGGAGAGAGATTCTATGCCTTTCTCAAAACTTTTCAGTCCCACTTGAGAAACCATCTCCTGTGCCCATGAAGAGGAATAAACACCAAGAGGATTGGACTAGCTGAGAAGAGAGCGCAACCAGAAGCAGCGAGGCTATATTGAGGATTAATTTTTCTGTCTTTGTAGGGTGGTGAAGACGGAGGATCTTTTAGTGCTGATCTTAGTCAGACATCACTGCAGTTAAGCTTTTCTTGCAGAAAAACTGCATTTCCTGTCTTAAAGTCAAGCTTAGCTTCCTGGGACAGTACGATTTGAGTATTAATAGTTGTCTCTTCCAGAAGATTTCCTCTGCTTTCCTTTAACACTAATGCTGGAAGAAAGGAATCTGTTTCTTGTGCAGTGTCTCTCAAGTGTAGTAGAAAGTTTCTTGTAATCAGCCACAGAGTTGATAAGCTGCTGAAATAGTGCATACTTGTTGTGGTTTGAGTGTGTTGCTGGGTTCTGCTCAAGGCAAGAAATAGAGTTGCTTGTTGGACCAAGGTCAGACTATCTTACGGGTCAATAGGAAGTCATTCTCTGTTCAGTCTGAAGGGTAGTCAGTAAGAGATCAGTGTTCTT